TGTGTGTGTGTGTGTGTGTGTGTGTGTGTGTGTGTGTGTGTGTGTGTGTGTGTGTGTGTGTGTGTGATGCCTTACCTCCACTATCTCTGTGCAGGCGTGGAACACGAGGTGCTGCTTCTGGGGATCTATGACAGCCACCTGGACCAAAGCATTGGGCTTCCTGTCTCTGCCTGGGGCCTCCAGATCATTACAGGCTTCAGAGAGGAAGAGAGGGAGGATGGGAGCCGAGAGGGAAAGGAGAAGATCAAGAAAGGAGGAGAAAAAAAGAGAAACCAGGAGATGAGAGAAGAGTGTAAAAAAAGGGGGGGTATAGTCCTTTATGATACATACGTAAGCGAGTGCAATCACAAAACACTCTGTCACGAGTGGAAAACATGACATCATGGAAGAGAATCAGAGCAAACAAACACAGGAGGAGAAAACGTAGGGATGCTTACTTGTAGTTTAAATTAATCTCCTGTCAGATTAAACGTTACATGCCAAAGCACTAAAGATCTGCACCACCACAAAAGACTTTAAACTGCCTGTGTGCACCGAGACGTCAACCCCCAAAAAACACATTAAAGGTTTTGGGAGAAAGAAATAAATAAAATATGTGGACATTGAGATATAAAACTGCTGCCTCAGCGGATGATTAAAATGCAGCCAGGCAACCAGAAGTCCTCCTGGCAGTGAGATATCAGTTTTATTAGGGCTTTCATTTCTGACTTCAAAAGCTGCTTGTCACTCAGATTCCAAGGATGGCGGCGCCCAATCTTAAGCTCCACCCTAATCACTAAACCCTCAGACTTTACTGCTGCAACAGCTGCTGGGCTACAGTGTGTGAATTCATGAGGACTTTAAACTGTATATCAAGGAGGAGAAGAGCGTGACAAAGAAAAAGGCACACATCCAGTATGCATCTGACAGCTGCTCTATAGGTCAAAACCTTCATTTTGCATCTATAATCACTTTCTTTATGTGACATCAAAGAATAAAAAAATATGCATATAAAAATGCTGCCAAAAACCATGTTAAATGTAAAAATAATAATAATAATAATAATACATCAGAGTCTCTATGCTACTGGCAGCTCAGGTCATTTATTCTCTTGTCGTACTTTACAATGTTTGAGTTTCAGAACAGCAAAATTGTCAGCAAAACTCCAACAAGATTATTCTTTTTGGTCCCATCACAAGCAATGTTGGATCAAAGAGAGCTTCACTGGACTTCAGTGGTAAAGTCACAAATGCAGATAAAGTTTGGTTCATTTAACGTTCAGTTATGATAAAATATTCTCTCATCTGTTGCAGATAGATTTTTGAGCAAACCCAATTTGTAGAAGTGTGAGTTCTGACCAGATTTACAAGGGAATGATTATTGCAGTTTAAGGGAACACTAGAAAACTTTATATCTATATGAATTTGAAATTTCACATCATGTTCGAAATAAACAATTGAGCTTGTTCAAAAAACTATCTACAACAAGTAAAATAATATTTTAACTAAAAAAAACACTTCAAAATCATATGAAGTTACTTTGGAAAAGCTTCAGTGAAGGTAAAAATAAGCTTAGTTTTTCTATTCTTTTGTTATTTGTTACAAAAATGCTAACTGAGGATTACATTTTATAAAACTGATAAAAATAATGTGGTAGTTTTGTTCACATCTGCCTGACACATTATTATAACATCTATTCTGTAACTTTGTTTTTCCTTTCAATAATTAGCATCCATATATCTATACACTTTATATTTGCATGAAATTTGTACACAGTATATATTTTAACTTCATGTAAGTTTGTTCACTGTGATGAACCCTGAAAAAGAGAGCAGTCAAAAAGACAAAAATTTATTTTTGTACACTTTAGTATAGCAGTAAAAATGTGATCCAGACTCTACATGTTATTTTCATATATGTCACTTTTGGCACATCCAGCTATTGATCTACTTCAGAGCCCAATCAGTTTTAAACATACACATGAAGGGTGCAAACACACTAGGGTTGGGCAAGATTGGCAAAAAAAAATCACGGTTAATTGTGTTATTTAGCCGATAATGATTAATTTGACAATAAATGCCCTGGAGACCCTGGACACCCTTATGTCCTAGTCAAAAGACCAATTTAGTAGGAAAGATTTGCTCTTTGTAAAAATCTGTTCCAAAAATGTGTCAAAATTACAGACTTCAGGCTGTACATCAATTTTTAAATTGTGTTGATAGATAAATAAATTACAGAACTTTTTTTTTCTAATGTTTGTCATATTTGAAGCGGTAATGCCTGGTGGCATTACCGGTAATCGTATTAATCATCAAGTGGCAAATGATAATCATTTAATGTTTTTTTCTGACGATTAATTGCACATGACACGATTATGCCCAAACCTAAAACACACATGCTTTGCATTCAAACAAAAACCTGAGACATAAGAGACTTCTGTGTTTAATCTGACTACTGTTCAGTTGGGTCATTTCACATCATACACTTAATTTAATATGAAAGTTTTACAAGTTGATCTTCATGTATAGCAAAACTAAGTAAAAAAACAGATTTTTTTAACAACACTGGAAAGCAAATGGAGCAGAGTATTTTTTTTTATTTATTTTTGGCATGGCTAGTTTAAGAACAGAAACACAAGCAAAATCAGCATTTAATAAGCGTTTGTCATATGCTTGTCCACAAAAAAAGCAAAGCAATGAAGAAAAGAACACTTTCAGCAGGCAAGTTTTAAAGCTTATTTGGTTTTTCAAAGCTTAAACAAAAAATATTTTATGCAAAAGTATACAAAAAATACAAACTTTTTACTAAACTTTTACACCACCAATCATCCTTTCTAAGCATTTTCAAAAACTGTGAATACCATTGTTTAACTTAGGGTCAAACAACACACGCTACTTACAGTAGTTCCCATTTACCAAAAGGCACCAAACTGAAAACATATATATAACTAAAAATAAAAACTAAAACACCATTATTAATTTACCTCTGTTTCAGGCAATTTGTTTCATCCAAAAAGTCTCTTTAAAAAGCATTTTAACCAAAATACTTCAGAATTAATAATGTTTCATTTTCAGTCCCTGAAGCAGTTGTAAAAAAGCACAATTTGACAGCCAAAATGTTTCTGTCCGTGTTATTGCCCTGAAGTGGCGACAAAAATTCTGTTGTTTTTAATGAGCAACTTTGTCAAACATGAAGCACAAAACTTTGAAAAACAATCTCAGTTCCTCATCATATAAATAAGATTTTACTTATGAATCTGAACACAGTAAATGCAAACATGCTTCCAAATCAAGATGTCATTAAAGACTATAAAACAGGCACATAATTGAAAGAAAATGATGAATTGTTTTCCAGAAAAACAATGTATAATCAAGTGGGTGGCTTTTCACTGCAGCATAATGGCTGAAAATACCCTGCATAAATGCTTTCCCAAAGGAAAGTTTTAAAGATTGAGGATTATTTTTTAGAAATAAAATAAAGGCTCCAATGGAGAAGACCTATTGTCCCTTCCCCCCACAAACTGTGACTTGGAAACAGTTAGCAGAGCACTGTCTATAGATTTTAAAGACTAGAAGGGAGCATATGATTGCAATAAGCCTATGATGTGTTTAGACACAATGCCGTTTAGGGCTTTAAAGGTTGGAAGTACGATTTTTAAAGTCAATATCAAATTGAACAAAGCGCTAGAGCAGAAGAGCAAACAGAGAGGTGATGTTTTGGTCCCAGTAATGAGTCTAGCTGCAGCTTTTTGAACCAACTGCAGACGATGAAAGCAGCCCTGACTGATAAATTGCAATAAATTGAGAGCAGTTAAAAGTGTGGCATAACTTATAAAAACACAGCACAGCTTTTTGCACAAGTTTTTCCACATCATCCATATACCATGGGTCAAAGAGTCCTAATGGAGAGGGAAAATGAATCCATATCAAACTTTCAAACCCTCTGACATCAGTTCTAAATCTGTCACCTGATTCTGTCAGACTATATTACCTTTACTAATTCCTTAATTCTCCTCCATCTTATCTTGAGACCTGCAGGTTTTTAAGGACAACATTTAATCTCAAAAGACATTATTGACTCTACTAACAATTCTCTTTAAGTTTTTGACTTGATAAATCTGAATTAAGGAAAATAATCAAAAAGGTTTTCAGGAAGCAACAGTTTATTTAAGTTCTGCTACAGCTGTAAAATGTAAGATATGCTACTGAGAAATACTGTTTATTGTGCTGACACAAGTATAGATAAAGTGCATTAATGTGTTATTTTCTGAGGAGCTTGTAAAATGAACTCATTAATAAACCATGCTGTAAGCAGGCATGCAGAGCATTGTGTCAATAAGATGAGTGACCATGACTGAATAGCAACTGATTTAATTTGTTTTTGTATTGCTAGTTTGAGTCTGTACACAATCCCATGAGTAAAAATGACAGAAAAGTGTTATGTTATTGTTTTTCAATTATTATAATGTCTGTGGTCACAGAAAAGTTCTTAAGAGATTTTTTTTCTGAAGCTTGTTACTGTACCCGTTGAGAATTCCAGCCTTGTTGCTGTTGTGTCCCTAACAGAATCCATCAACATAATTTGTTGTTATCAGAAAAAAATTAGCTGTTTAATTTTTTTCCTAAAAAAACGGTAATAGTTTACCATCATGATGATGAGACAGCAGCTTTTTCACTTTGTTGTTTTTTTTTTTCTTCTTTTTTTGGCTTGTGCCGCAGGTATTCTTTTCTGATAATTATTCGTGTGTGAATGACTCCGATCACTCTGGGTCCACAGAAGCAGGATTAGGGAGCATGGATTTATTTCTATGAAGCATTGATCTACATCTTTATATTTTCCCACATAACCAAAGAAAGCAATGAAAGAAATTCAATCTATATGTGCCTGTGATGACTGTGTGCAAATCCTTTACTCTGGTAATTCAGAGTGATAAAAAAGGAAACACAAAGGTAATAAACAAACAAATAAAGCCATGTTCCTATGCAATTTGTTTCCTATTTGTGTTAGTATTTCAACTATTAAAATTTAGTTAAAGAGTATTTCTGACATCTTACAAAGTCTAGGCACATAAAATGCAATGATTGTGTATTTACTGGTATACTTGTGTATATAACGTAGGGCTGATAAGGAATTATCTATTTTCAGAACCTGTCTGAAGATCTAAAAATAAGCAATGACAATAAAACAGAAAAATATTATGGTGAAGTATTTCAACG